TCCACGCGGTTTATATAAAAATAATGTCAAAATAGAATGTTAATAAATGTTACTAAAATGTTATGATTTTAGAAATTTCTCTGTTGTTCAGCTCTGAAATTATACTAAAACAATTGTTCACCTTGCCTTCGGCGAATAATTGCTAAATATTGCGACCATTAAGATTATTGAGCGGAAACTATCGTTTTGGTTGATCACATTAAAAAAGGAGCCCTCGAAAGGCTTTGAATGGCGGAAGCTATCGAGAAAAGGCGTTGTTCACCCGTTTTTTTTTTATTGCTATTGAATTTCAATCGAACAAAATAATACACTCGTGATCTGTTATTTGATGTTAAATTTAGAGCAAGTAATGTAATTTTTAAGAGGGAACTTTCCCACAATGATAGGTAACAAAATCCACTTCATGTAGCAATTAAACACTATAGTACTACGTATTGGCCTGAAAGGATAAATGTTTAACGAAATGAGTAACTTAGAGAGTCAAAAATGTAAAGCAAACGTAAAGAGTAAAAAATCTTTCCTTACTCATGGTGTAGTTGATGCTCCAAAACAGTATACATTTTGCAATGAAACCGAAAAGTCCGAAAACAAAATAATTTCCGCTTGTTGCTGTTATTGATTTACCATGTGATGCCCCTTTCCCTTCGATCGGGAGTGGAATATTGCCTAGTTCAGCATTATCTTGTACTTGGGTGAAAGCTAAATTTCTTGAAAATAACGAGAAATCACGTGTCGTGCAAATATTATAGCTCGACACAATGAATTAATCGTTGTAGACGTGTATTCATCATTCGATCAGTCCTCTTTGCTAGTTTTGTGGTTTGTTGTTTTTGACGTAGTATTGCAGTTCGCGAGAGACAGATTTGACCTTTCATATTGATATCGTGTTTGCCGGTAGAAGTGGACTACACGATGAAATTCAGGCTTTTTTGACAATCTGTACAGCCTATTGAATGTAAAAACACAGAAGTGCGCGTTTAATGCTGAACATTGACGATTAAAATGTAATTGCGTGACAGTGCGTTACAGTTGAGCTACGATTTTGCCCTTTGATCTTTAAACACGAAGGCGTGCTATAAATAGGGATATATCAACAAAGTTGAAATGGTAAATTGGCCACCGTAACGATTACAAAAGCTGACGTTTCGAGCGTTAGCCCTCGAAAGAATGAAAAATTTCACAAGTGCGATTTGCAGCCAGAATTTCACAACTGTAGTGGTTGTTCGGAAAAATTCTTAGCTGTCGCTGCTCTAAAAGATATTTATTGCGGGATTTGTGCGTTACGGCTGACTCCTCTCGATCGCTTCCATCTTCACTGTTGATTTAGAATCGTGTCTTCGCTCACATCCGGGAGAAAAGTAGTCTCCTTCGCAGCCGCTCGGGCCGGAGTCACGCAACGCTCCCCGTCCCCGCGCTGCAAAGGAGACTAGGAGAAAAGGAAGTGTATAGAACCGGAAAGCTCGTTGATCTCGCCGGAAGTGAGAGACAAAGCAAATCCGGCTGCACTGGTGAACGATTTAAAGACTCCACCACGATAAACTTGTCTCTGTCTGTGCTTCGGAATGTCATATCTGCTGAAAGCTTTGTCAGTTTTCGTATTCTCCATGTCGAGTAGTTGTAGTTCGTTTCTTTGTCGTCGACAATTAAGTTTTTATGCAAGCGAAGGGTAATAATTGAGATTATTATTTGTATAATTTGACTAACTTAAGATTTTTTCTGATAGCTAAGAGAAGATTATTAATGTTGGATCTTTTCTAGCTGTTTTAGAACTTATCGAATACCCTGTCGGGGTACATTTTGCCGGAGTCTGATCTACTTCTGTTTTTTTTCTTTATTAGACCTTTTTGCCGTATGAGGACCATCAAACGCTTCGTTCTGTTTACGGCCATAGCTCCAATTGCTATCTTGGTACTTCGACTGTTTGCCCTCGTAACAGAAGTATTACAAATTCGGCATCCCAGCGCCACTGGAATCGTTGCTGCAATAGGTGGTGCGGTATTTCTGGGTATTGTTTTTTTCATTCTTCGTCTGTTGGAACCACGTTTGGTAAGTATACCAGAGAGCGTCGTTCGGGGTTTAGAAAACTATTTTCGCATTTTTCAATTAAAAAAACTTATATTTTTCTGAGCATCGCTTCTTCATCATAACAAAGTGAAGAATGATGCGTTATAGTTTTAGGGTTCAAGGAATTACGATAACGTAAGAAGCCATGGTGGATCTAGATATATGTCGGAGTTTAGGTCAAACCTCTTGCGATAGCGAACGTCCAATAAGGGTTAAAACTCTTCAATAAAGAAGATAGAAGGAAAATGTTTAGGGTTCAACGAACAACTTTAATTTTTTGCACGAACTGGCAATATGCGGAAAACTAGTTTTGAAGTGCAATACAAGTCATTAAAAGAAACTGACTTGGCTTCACTGTGTTGCTGTGTTGGACATCACATTACCCAAGAATCTAGAACTAAACATCTTCCGGTGAAGGATTTATTCGTTTCCCCCC